CTTCCTTCTTAGCTCTCATTAGAATTGCCATTAACTATATTTCTACCAACCATCTCTTCAAGAAAATTTAGGCTTTTTCTATCATTTTACCTCAACATTCTTTTAGCCTCTATCCATTATCCAGGTCCAAAGCCACTTCTACATTTATAGCTTTCATTATAGCTATATGAAATATAGCACCCCTCTTCCCCAAATCGCAATCTATATCAGTTCCCTAGGGCTGCCACAAACTTGGTAGCTTACTGCAATAGAAATGTATTCTCTCCGAGTTCTGGAGGCCAGAAGTCCTAAGTCTATAGGTTTTGGGGGTGGATCCTTCCTCGCCTCTTTCAGCTTATGAAAGGGGATTCCGTGGCTTGTGGCAGTATAACTTCAATCTCTGCTTCTGTCTTCACATGGCCTTCTTCTGTGCTTGTATATCTCAAATATTCCTCTCCTTTCTCTTATGATAAATCCAGTGACTGGATTTATAGCCCACACTAAATCCAGAATGATCTGGAGATCTTAAACTTAATTACATATGCAAAGACCCTATTTCCAAAAAAAAACCCACATTATATCCAAGGTACTAGGGCAGTGGTCGGCAAACCGCAGCTTGCAAGCCACATGTGGCTCTTTAGCCCCTTGAGTGTTCTAATGCCACTTCTTCAAAATAGACTCGCCCAGGCTGAAAACCGACTTTTGCGCATGGACCACGAAGTTTCAATCGCACTGATCCCCAGTAGGGGACATGCAAGAGGCAGCCGATGGATAATTCTATCTCATCATCGATCTCTCTCTCTCTCTCATCTCACTCTCTCTCTCTCTCTCTCTCTCTCTCTCTCTCATCTTCCTCTCTGAAATCAATAAAAATATATTTAAAAATAAATAAATAAGATGCTTAATTTAAAAATTAAACAGAAATGATCTAGAGACAACTGAAATGGATTATAAGTTATTGAAGTCAGTCAGAAGTCATTTTGCAACAGGCTTCAGGGTACATTCTTTATATATATATATATATATATATATATATATATATTTTATTGATTTTCTATAGAGAGGAAGAGAGAGGGACAGAGAGCTAGAAACATCGATGAGAGAGAATCATCGATCAGCTGCCTCTTGCACACCCCCAATGGGGATGTGCCCGCAACCAAGGTACGTGCCCTTGACCGGAATCGAACCTGGGACCTTTTAGTCCACAGGCCGACACTCTATCCACTGAGCCAAACCGGTTTCGGCCAGGGTACATTCTTAAGCATCTACCATTCTTAGTTCTTTACTATAGTGTCCTACCATTATCATAACACAGCTACTTTCTCTGTCTTTGATCATCTCTGGGAATCTTTCTACTTCTGTTTCAAATATCGGCTACAGGCTCTCTTCCCATACCTCCAGGTCAAATTCCCAAGAAACAAACTGATTACTATGCTTTTGTATGGACATTTGTGACAGGCTAACTCGATCCCCAGTAGGGGGCATGCAGGAGGCAGTCAATCAATGAGTCTCTCTCATCACTGATGTTCCTCTCTCTCTCCCCATCGCCCTTCCTCTCTGAAATCAATAAAAATAGATTTTTTAAAAAGAATGTCATATGGTCCCAGCAAGAATACATGTAGATGGAACCTCTTGAAGTGGCAGACACTCTCAGGCATGAATTTCCTCCACTAGACAATTAGAATTCCTGTACATAGTGATATTCAGCACAGGCAATGTACTAGGTACATAATAAGCTCTCAAATATTAACTTTAGTTCCATGGGTTAAACAAAAAGTTTAATTCCTTTATATGACATTTAATTCCATTGAGTCAACTTACCTTTTCATTTTAATCTACCGTGTTTCCCCCAAAATAAGACCTACTTACAGGTTTCCTTCTGAGTGAAATATAAGGCATCCTCCTGAAAATAAGGCCCCCCCCCCCCCCAGGTTAAACATGAGAGATTTGGTCCACTGATTCTGAAAGAAATGGAGTCACAAGAAATTCACCAGGAAATTCAGGAATTGGATTGTTATGATGATGTTCCAGAAGATGATGACATGATTGTCATTGAATAAATGAGTAAATTCTTGATACTGTAGGATTTACAGTTTGTCTGGTTTGTGTTGACAACAACTGTACTACCGTACCGTATACAGGTAATAAATTTCCTTCCTTTTCCTTTAACAATAAATGTGTACCGTATTCTTCTTCATGGAAAAATAAAGACACCCCCTGAAAATAAGACCTAGCGCATCTTTGGGAGCAAAAATTAATATAAGACACTGTCTTATTTTCGGGGAAACAGGGTATTAATATATCATCCCTTAAACTCTAATAATAGCTAACATTTTTTGGGTGTTAACAATATGCCTGGCATTTCTCTTAGAGCAAGCATGTCAAACTCGCAAACCACAATATGTAAGAAATATTTTAATAAAAATTTCATAACTTAATTTTTACAATATCCTGTTATACATAATCTATACTAATAAAAGGGTAATATGCTAATTAGACCAGGTCAACTGGCCATCTTCTAGAGATCCGACTTCCTTCCAGACAAAGCCATGGTGGTGGGGGCCGAGGCACAGGCAGTTAGGGGCAAGATCAGGCTGACAGGGGGTTAGGGGCAATCAGGCTGGAAGGGGAAGGCAGTTGGGGGCGAGATCAGGCTGGCAGGAGAGGGCAGTTGGGGACGAGATCAGGCAGCAGAGGAGGGCAGTTGGGGGTTACCAGGCCTGCAGGGGAGGGCTGTTGGGGGTGATCAGACCTACAGGTGAGGGTTGTTGAGGGTGACCAGGCCGGCAGGAGAGAGCCATTGGGGGTGACTAGGACACCAAGGGAGGGTAGATGGGGGTATTAAGCAGGCAGACAGGTGAGTGTTTAGGAGCCAGTGGTCCTGGATTTTGAGAGGGATGTCTGACTGCTAGTTTAGGCCCTATCCCACAGGGGCTGAGCCTAAACTGGCAGTCAGACACCCCCCGAGGGGTCCCAGATTGGAGAGGGTGCAGGCTGGGCTGAGGGACATCCCCCCACCATGCACAAGTTTTGTGTACTGAGGCTCTAGTTATTAATAATGAACTACAATGTTCACTGATGACTGATTACTATAATCGTGTTGCATTCATTTCCCTTACACACCTTACATGCAGGTGCACCATTTCTCTCTACTAATACTAGCAGCAAATATTTTAGCAGCCGATTGCCAAGTCATTAGTCTTGTACTAACTTGTTTGGTGTGCACAACAGAAAAATATTTCACTTTCAGAGAACAAGAAAAGTAGGTTTATTTGCGTTACGATTTTAATTTGTGCAGTTATTCAGTGTCTGGTAAGTTAATATTCAAGAAAAAATATTAATTTTTATTAAAATATTCTATTGTCTTATGCTGATGATTATTCATTTATTTCAGCTCTTTGTATTCAGCATGTCTCTACTGAAATAAACCTACGTTTCTATGAAAATTGAAATTTTGTTTTTTTGCGACTCACATAAACTTAAACCTTGTTTATTTGGCCCATCTTAGTCTTTGAGTCTGACATGCTTGCTTTAGACTCACATGTGTCAAACACAAGGCCCGCGGGCCAAATCCGTCCTGCCAGGCCTTGCAATGTGGCCCGCACCGTGCTGTCATCACTGCACTCCGCTGCGTTTCCATCACAATGACAGTTTATGACTGTTCAGTAAACCATTCGGCCCACGATTTAGGCTGGATTTTAGATTTTGGCCCCTTCTCTGATTGAGTTCAACACCCCTATAAGTTTAGAGTATTACATATATTCACTCATTTAATCCTCACAACACAAAGTATCCATATTTTATTAATGTAAAAACTGATACACGATGACATTAAGTACTTGCACAAGGACACATAGCTAGTAAATGGTTGAACAAGAATACAAACACAGCCAAAACCAGTTTGGCTCAGTGGATAGAGTATCGGCCTGCAGACTGAAAAATCTCAGGTTCAATTCCGGTCAAGGGCATGTATTGTACCTTGATTGCGGGCACATCTCCAGAGGGGGTGTGAAGGAGGCAGCTGATCGATGTTTCTAACTCTCTATCCCTCTCTCTTCCTCTCTGTAAAAAATCAATAAAATAAAACAATTCAAACCCTGGTAGTATGGCTTAAAAGTTCAGAACTTAATCATTAAACCACACCACCTTACAAACTTTACTATCCTATCTAATAAAAGAGAAACGTGAAAATTGACCACACCTCCACTACGCTCACAAGCCACGCCCACCAGCCAATCAGGAGCGAGTATTCAAATTAACTCAACAAATATGGCAGCGGCCACAGAGCTGGAGCAAGCAGGAGGCTTGGATTGTCCCCAGCGATGGAGGAAGCCAAGCTTCCTGCCCGCCCTGGCTGGCCCTGGCCTCTCTGCTCAAGGCTACAAAGTTTCAACTATAGAAGATAAATAAACCCCAACAAAGATGGTGCAGCCACAACCAGGAGCCAGCCAGAGGCTTGGGTTGCCCCCGGATATTTAGTTGTCTTGATTATTTCTGGTTTCATTCTGTTAGGTTGAAGGACACGCTCTGAATGGTTTTAGTATGTTTTGAGTGTGTTGGGGTTTTCTTTATGGCTCGGTGGATGCTCAGATTTTGGAACATGTTCTGTGACCATCAGGTTTCCTCTATTGCAACTCCATGAAAGGACTAACCTTAGAAACCTCCAAGTTCCCTTCTGCCATTAAGTGTGTGAGATTCCTTGGAAACATAGAGAAACCGGTGAACACTTAGTTTTTGTCTTCGAATGTTTTCTCATTGACTTTTCAAAATTTAACAACTGTTGCTTCTAATTACAAACAAAAAAAAAAGAAAGAAAAGAAAGAAGAAAAAAAAACCACTTGTATTCCCCTGTGCAGTTCTGTGCTTTTCTTACCTAAAAAGGGAGACACTGGCAGTGACCAGCGCAGTTCAAGGATCCCGCCCCAACACAGCCACCGCCGCGCACGCCGGGCCGGCCCAGCGAGGGGCGGGGCCTCCGCGGCGTGATGACGTCGGGGGCGGGGCCTCCGCCGGACCCCCCGTGCGCTGACGGCCGCGGCCAGAGCGCTCGCAGCCGGGCCTGGGCAGCGGCGGGCGCCGGAGGACCTCGCACAGCGCGTCCGCGGGGGGCTCCGGGGCGGGGGCTGCGGCGGCGGCGAAGCCCCCTCCCCGGGGAGGCGGAGCGGAGCCGGGCGGGCTCCCCGCGGGGAGCGGCGGCCGCCGGGGAGGATGCATCAGAAGCTGCTCAAGAGCGCGCATTACATCGAGCTGGGCAGCTACCAGTACTGGCCGGTGCTGGTGCCTCGCGGCATCCGCCTCTACACCTACGAGCAGATCCCCGTGTCCCTCAAGGACAACCCGTACATCACCGACGGCTACCGGGCCTACCTGCCCTCCCGGCTGTGCATCAAAAGGTACCGTCCGGCCGCCCCCAGCGCGCCGCCCGGCAGCCCCTCCTCCCCGCCCACCGCCCGGCTTGTGTCTGCTCTCCCTGCCGCCTTCCCCGCTGCTCCCCTCCCTGTGCTTCCCTTTCCTCTCTCCACCTCTCCTGCCTGTTACCTTCCCTCCTCCGCGCTGTGTGACCCACCGAGTAATTAATAATAATAAGGATAGTAACTGGGACCCTAATGACTGGCTCTGGCGCTCTGCTGTGTACAAAGGGCTTTCACATCTTCCATTCCTTTTGGTGCTGAGGGGGTGACAGGTTGGACTCACCCCACTGATGGTGGTTGAGCCCTGCTTGCCCCCTGTGTGTATCTAAGCTTTATCTTTAGAGCAGCCCTATGGAAATGCAGGTGTTTGGGGTCAGACAAATGCCTGTGTCCTAGGAAACAAGTTCGCATGTTGAGGAAGCCCTGCTTCATTCATCCAGCAGGTCCTGGGAGCCCCTGCTAGGTGACAGGCCCTTCACCAGGTGGTGCAGAGAGCAGCAGACAAGGCCCCGGTTCTCATGGGCTGCTAAAGTCCAGCCTGGGTGGCACACATGAGAGAGATAATGACGCTATTACATAATAACCGTTGTGAAAAACGCTGTGTAGGAAAAGGCACTCTATAAGCAAGGAGAGACTATAACGGGCACCGCCCTCCACTAGAGAACTGTAGGAGCAACTCCGAATTTCGTCATCCAAGCCTCGAACACCCTGGAAAGCCTGGGCTTAAAAAAAAAAAAAAACACACACACTCACAACTGAAAAATTAGTGTTCTAAGCCTTCCAAGAGCTTCCTGTGGAAATTCACTGTGTGCACTTCAATCAGGACCCCACTTTTAAGAGAATTACAGTGCAGATGTTGGCCGGCTCCAGGTCACTGTAGAGACAAACCCCAGTGCTGGAAAGTGGGCTGTTGAATTGCTCAAGCAGCACCCACAGGTCTGGTTCTTGACCTTTTCAGCATGATCCTTCCCCAGTTCCTTTGCCTGCCTCGACAGTGTTTCTGTGACTCACAGTCACAAGGTAACAATCACCGTCTGTCCCTTTTTTGCTTTAATGGATGGCCCATAGGACTTCACAAGTTGAATCCTACGTAATCTTTTTCTCTCCAGTGCCTCCTCCTGTGTATAAGGTATTACACAGGAAATCAGAGCTAAGCCCTGCAGGTAGTGAATTGCCTTAAATATTTTATACCCACCTAGCAGTGATCTAATTATTAGAGTCCAAATCTTATGTATTGAGAAATGTAATCTAATTCTTTGGATCTTGGGCTGTTGAGTCAAAAAAAAAAAAACATGGGTATCCAGATCTACCACTTAACAACTGTGGGACCTTGAGGAAAAGTTAACTTCTCTGAGTCTTATTTTCCCCATTTGTAAAAGTGAGGGTGATCATAGTAGCTGCTTCAGCAAGCTGTAAGGATTAAATGAGACTGTATATGTGAAATCCTATACAGGGCCTACGCACTCAAACAAATGGTATTATCATGGTCATCAAAGCTAACCAGATGTTGATGATTGAGATGATTTTTTTAAAATATATTTTTATTGATTGTTGAGAGGGAAAGGGAGAGGGAGAGACAGAAACACTGATGGTGAGAGAGAATCATTGATCGAATGCCTCTTGCACACCCCTTACTGGGGCTGGGACCCACAAACCAGGCTTGTGCCCTGAATCGAACTGTGTCTTTCTGGTTCGTAGGTCAACGCTCTACTATTGAGCCATGCCGGCCAGGCTGATTATTGATTTTGAAACTGAACAGTCTGGGCCTAACTTCTCATAAATTAAGAGTATGTTGTCTGTTGTGGATATTCTCCTAAGTGCTTTTTCCACCAGCTTGGCCTTTTCCGGTTTCAGCCTTTGCCCCTCTTCTTGTTGCTGTCAAGCACGGCCAGGATAGATCTTAGATATAAGGAGAGGCATTGTGTCACAATTGTTCTGCCAGGACTCTGTTAGTTGGAAAGAACATGCCAGGATTGTATCTGTCGGTTCAGTTAGTCCAGTTAGACTGAGCTTCACAAAATGAAAAGTTCTGAAGCAGCAGGCAGAACATAGCATTGATTGTCAAAACAGACCTGTAGTTAGATGTGTCCCCTCACATTCCTGCATCCTATCCCCTCCACACACAACAGTGTAAGTAGTCTTTATACTTGATGCTTGTACTGATAAAACATGAACTTCATGATACATGATTCACTTTATCCTTGGTCGTTTGACAGTGTGAAACTCTGCTCTTTTTTTGTTGTTGTTGTGCAAAGATGGGAAACCATGGTGACTGCTGCAAATAAGGATTCTGAATCGGTAAACTAAACCAAAGGCTTACTTTAGAAAGATTATTTTGCAAGAGAAATGCAAGAATATTTTAATTTTTTTAGTCATGATGTCACCTTTCAATAAATAATCAGGTGAGTTCTGTCCACAGCAGGAGAAACACTTCACAAGATTAAGGAAGGAGCCGGAAGGAACTTGCAGCATCATCTAATCCAGCTCCCTTAGAAGATACCCAAGCCAGAGAGGTTAAGTGACTTTCTCATGACCACAGAGCTGATTTGTGGCAGAGGGGGTGAAGGGACAGTAGGCCTGGACTTGGTACGCCAGCCTGTGCTGCAAACCAGTCAGTCAGCAATAGTAACCTCCTATTGTTCCTAATAAGAACGTGCCACCTGGAAACCATGGTTGCAAAACAATGGTTTTGAAAAGTTGTTCCAGCATGCCTGTCTTATAGGTCTTTCCAGTGAATCCATTTTTTATTTATTCTGCTTCTCTCAAACCCATTTAATTCTGCACTTAACAAGAACTAAAAAGGTATTTTAAGTTGTGTCTAACCTAATACTTAGGTTTTCAGACACCTGTTATTGAACATCAGAGTATGCTAGCTAATATCCAGTTTTAATCTGCACATTTATTTCTGTAGACATTTAGCATCTAATTGGAGCAAGACACTGTGCTTAGAACAGTGGTGTCATACAGATGAATGGTGCCAGCCATCAGGGAGTTAATAGGCTGGTGGTTGAAATGGCATTTATACATAAATAACTCTAATACAAGGAACAAAATGATCAATATCATACTACAGGTGAGCATCAAAAAACCTCTAAGATCCTAGGATTGGTTGTGGAAAAACTAAGAGATTAATTAAGCCAAATTATATATCAAATTTATAAAGGCAAAGATGGGGTGAAGGGCTTAAAGTGGTGTTAGGTAACCCAGGAAAAATTGTTCCTAATCTTTAAAATGCTGACAGTGAGTGAGCCACTATGATTCTGAACTTCATGGGCTTTGTTTTGTTTTGTCTTTCAGTTTGTTTATTTTATCTAATGAGACAGTAAACATTTGGAGTCATTTGCTGGGTTTCTTTCTCTTCTTCACACTGGGAATATATGACATGACATCTGTGTTACCTTCAGCAAGTGCATCCAGAGAAGATTTTGTAATTTGTTCTATTTGTCTTTTCTGCTTCCAGGTAAGTTATTCCATAAACACTGTTGGTGGGAAAGAGAATTTTAGTCAGACAAGTCTGGGCAGGTGATCTTACTTCACCTCCACTTGCTTTAAAAGCCCCCAAATTGCGTATTGGATAGCTTAATCACTTTCATAGTATAAGCGCCAAAAGTATGTTTTATAAAAGTGTATTTGGATGTTATTATTAGAGTGTATTAGAAACCTAATAAGTTTTAAAGATTGAGAACATTTCTTTGTTTCATTTTCTCTTTCCCTTTATAGACATCTCTGCTTTAAGATTAATACAATGATAGGAAACTCTGATTGTACTATATTTTCTGACTGAAGTAGAATACTAGTGGCTGCTTAACACTTGTTTGAGAAAATGTCTCATCTTTTTCCAACTTATACATCTGTGATTTTTGTACTTATTTCTATACCATCTTAATTTTAACGTCTTATTTAGCTGGTATTGATCTTTTCTGTTGCTTTGATGTTAATGTCCTTTAGTTCTTGTATACTTGCCTGGTTTCAGATACTTACTTCAGTTTCTCTCCTCTCTACCTCTTGCATTTGTTAGTTCTTTAGCACTTTCATTTTTCTTCAGACCTCTATAAGAGTGCCTTCAGCAGTTATACTTAATAGTTTTGCACACAGATCATTCCAAAGAAGAAAACAAACGTGGACAAAATTCCTGTTGATAATTTTTAAATTTAAAAAAATGCAGAAAGTACAGATGATCATAAAAATGAAAAGAAAAAGGTGTTATCCCACTTTCTCCAAACATAGGCCACCACTCCCTGCAGTCTACCTGTGGCTACGAGGTTTGAAAGGTGAATCTGTAAGCATCTGCTTTATCATGTATTATCATTTGACTCAAGTCAAAACTTTAGACTTAAATGACTAAGAAACCCATCAGAAAATATCTCTTCTCCCCCAACCCCACCATTTTTATTTTAGAATCCTAGTTTCTGGAATAATATTTTGAAGTTCTTTGAGGGTAAGAATACTCTGTATTTTTGTGTTGTTGTTATTATTATTAGAAAATTACTCTTCCTTTTAAGTATTTTTTAAAATATTTTCTTCATCAGGTTTAGTTTTTGTACCGATTGAAGCCTAAATATCTCTTAGAATCCACTGCTGTTTTAAAAGGAATCAATTTTTTAATACATTTTTAGCTATATCTTAACATAGAGTGAGGTGCTCTTATGTCCCGTCCCGCGGGACAACAACGGGGGCACGCAGGAACCACCTAAGAGAATGAATCAAACAAGGAACGCGGAAAGAATGGAGGCAAGACAAGGTTCTGATCAAGCCTCAGTTTTATTATCTGAAATGGCTGTATTTATACAGCAGAGACAAAGGGGGGCAGGGCCGCTTATGCAGGGGGGTCTTTGGTATGGCAACACAGGATTGACTAATTGCCAGAGGCGGTGTGACATTCCAAGGCTGGGCTATCTAGGGGGGAGGATCAGGAAGGGTAAGAGGCAGGAAGACAGGAGATGCTAAACCCCAGGTTAATCTTATCTTCTGGCCAAGCCCTCAGGGCACCACACAACCTCTGCTAGAAGGAACTTAATTCTATTTCCTTAAGACTGAGTTGCTTGCCTCAACTCTGCTAGCTCCCAACACTCTTAATAATCATAAGTAAGCAAAACTGGTTTTTATTTTCTTGTTGGTTATATGGATATTATCTACTTTGAGAATCCCTCTACCCTTGGGCCTGCCCTTTAATTCCTTCACCACCCAGATATAGCTGATGTTGGTCCAGGGAAAATATATTGTTTTCATATTGGCCTAAGAAAACAATGCATTGCACAATTATAAAGATGAAATAGTTTAAAAAAACAAAAACAAAAAAACTGCCAGTAAAAAAACACCCAAAATATTACAGTGATCTGCCAAGGATTACTCAGCATTACAGTAAAACCCTATTCTCCTAACTGGCAATGCAATGACTTTTTGTTACCCACTGTAAAACTTGCTGAAGACAAATGAGTACATCCTTCCTAAAAATATCATTTCTGTTATTTTTATACTAGAGGCCTGGTACACAAAATTCATGCAGTGCAGGGAGGGTCTCCTCAGCCCAGCCTGCACCTCACCAATCCGGGACTCCTCAGGGATCAGGCCTAAATCAGCAATCGGACATCCCTCTCACAATCCTGGACCGCTGGTTCCTAACCACACACCTCTGATTGCTGGCCTGATTGCCCCCAATTGTTCCCCGTCCTGGCCTAGTCGCCCCCAACTGCTCCCCCTTCTGACCTGATCGCCCCATGCAGCCTGCTGTTCAGTCATTTGCTCGTCCCTCACTAACTCCCCTGCTGGCCTGATTGCCCCATGCAGTCTGTTCGGTTGTCTGTCCGATTGTTTCGATCGTGAGGGTCTCTGGCTTTCTATAATATGTGGATTTATGAAATTACATTTATAATTTGTTCACCAATTTTCCCAAATTCTTAGAATCAGCAGGCAACATGGTAAACCATAAATAGATGTATTTATGTTGATTTATTTTTTTATTAAATTATTATCTGTGTACATATTTATGTTGATTTAGATTTAAACCATAACTTTTTTTTCCTCTTTTCAATTTTACCCATTTTATATACTCAATGCTTTCCTCTCAACCAGATTAATAGAGTACATTCTGAGTAATAATGTGACTTCGGGGGCTCTCAACTACCCCAGAGGTCTTTCTGTCTTAGAGGAAGAGTAGAATCTGAAAACGTCTCTCCTTGGATTCCGTGCATTTACAGTCAGTACAACAAATATTTTTACATGCCTCCTCCCTAAATCCAGGTACTAAGCTAGGCATTGGGAATACAGTGCTAAACAAAGCCAACCTGTCATGAAGGTTGGGTCACTCCCGGTAGGAGAGCAGAAGGGAGAGGGAGGCAGGGCATTTAAGTAGGAAAAAATAATTTTTGTAAAGGCCCAGAAGCAAGAGGCAGCTTAACACTTTCTGGACTTGCAGGCGCTGGCCTTCATGGTTGCTTATAGTTGTCATCTTGCTGGGCCGGGATTAAGCCTGCAACTGAAGTATGTACCCTTTACTGGAATCAAACCTGCAACCCTTCAGTCTGTGGGCCCATGCTCTAACCATTGAGCAACTGGCTAGGGCCATCTCTGGGGAGAATAGAGAAAGATGGGGCTGGAGAGATAGGCAGGAGTCAGATGCTGAGATACTTGGTTATTGTGCCAAGGAGCTTAGACGCAGGATGTCACAACCTAATTATCTGTTTGCCTTGGTGAAATGAGATGTTCCACAGAAGAAAACTGAAATGTACTCTTTTTCCCAGGTAACTTTTCTGTCAGTTTCCTAAGGAACTCTAACAGTAACACATCCCTTTTAAAACGGGACATATGAAGTATGGGTTAACTTTCTCAATACTCAGTGCTTCTCATGAACACTGTATATTGTACTTTCCCTTTTGATACTGTAGTTTTTTCCTCTTTCCTCTCTTCTTGTTCACAAAGAAATTAGCTTTATTGTTGTTTTTATTATCACTATAAGATATGCTCATGGAGAAATTCAAGCAAATAATAAAGTATCTGGAAGAAAGTAAAAATCTCTTGAAATTCCACCCCCAGAGGTAACCACATGTGAAATTTGGGTTAAAATTCCTCCTGATACTTGTGTGTGCACAGCTGCCTCACACCTGTCACCTGCCTACCTACCCGTCTACCTACTTCCAAGCTATAATCATCTCTGCATGGTTTGGTGTTAGTTAAGATCTTTCCATTTCAATGAGAATATGCATCTTGATATTTTCTGGATATACTGTGTTTAATCTCAAGGATCTGACAAAACCATCAAGCTTCTTGGAATTATGTTTCATTGAATCAATAAACTGACTTGTAGTTTGATAGCCAAAGCCATTAGACTGGGGGAAGAGGTTGTGGCTAGGTACATTGTTTTGCATATTGATATTGAGGCCATGGGGACTGATTAGGTTTAATGACCATATTATAGAAGAGCAAGATGACAATTATAAGCAACCTTAGTAGTTGCTCACAAATGTTTAAACATTTGACCTGCTTCATATTGTTTATCTGTCCTGTTTACTCCACCACCCCCGTCACTGGCCTAGTTAGGCTCTTGTCATTGCTCCCCAGGGCTACTCTTGTAGCCTCTTGTCTCAGCCTGTCCATAAGGTTGCACTTAAAATCTCCAGTACTGCCGAAACCGGTTTGGCTCAGTGGATAGAGCATCGGCCTGCAGACTGAAAGGTCCCGGGTTCGATTCCGGTCAAGGGCATGTACATTGGTTGAGGGCACATCCCCAGTGGGGGTGTGCAGGAGGCAGCTGATTGATGCTTCTCTCTCATCGATGTTTCTTACTCTCTATCCCTCTCTCTTCCTCTCTGTAAAAAATAAAAAATAAAATATTTAAAATCTCCAGTATTATCACACCTAGCCCATAATACTGAAGTTAAAACTCCTTGATGTGTACAGCTTACCATAATCATGTTATGAAGAAGGCTGCATGATACTCCTTAACGGTCTGTTTCTCAATGTGCTGCTTTTCCTGAGGACCTCCCAGTAAGCATGTGCACATCTTTATTGTTGTCCTTAATGAATACCAGATTAACCTCGTAACCTTTAGTTCAGGTGTTCCCATAACTCCCACCTCTCCCGTACACACACCCGCGGAGCCAGGACCCTTCCTCTTCTGTTTCTCATTGTGCTCTGCATTGGCTTTTCCCTTGGGACTTCTTACATCACCATCTGAGAGTATAGGTTTCATCATGTATCCCCAGTTTGCGACACATCACAGATACTTCATGTCTGCAGGGACTTCAGCCATAGAAACCTTATCCGTTTTCAGAGTAGCTCAATGAATCAGACTACTTTGCTCTCAATTTGGCAACGATATAAAGTAAACAAAAGTCATAATTATATTTTCTTGGACACAACAAAGCCATGTTTAATTTATAACTTAAAAGTAAACTCTAGCCGAAACCGGTTTGGCTCAGTGGTAGAGCGTCGGTCTGTGGACTGAAAGGTCCCAGGTTCGATTCCGGTCAAGGGCATGTACATTGGTTGCGGGCACATCCCCAGTAGGGGGTGTGCAAGAGGCAGCTGGTCGATGTTTCTCTCTCATCGACATTTCTAGCTCTCTATCCCTCTCCTCTTCTCTGTAAAAAATCAATAAAATATATTTAAAAAAAAAAAAAAAAAAAGTAAACTAGCCAAAACCGGTTTGGCTCAGTGGATAGAGCATCGGCCTGCAGACTCAAGGGTCCCAGGTTCGATTCTGGTCAAGGGCATGTACCTTGGTTGCAGACACATTCCCAGTAGGGGTTGTGCAGGAGGCAGCTGATCGATGTTTCTAACTCTCTATCCCTCTTCCTTCCTCTCTGTAAAAAAATCAATACAATATATTTAAGAAAGAAAGAAAAAGTAAACTCTATACAATGAAATCTCAAACAGCTGTGAGAAATCTTAAATGAAAAAAGCAAATTGCAAATCAGAATGCTTAATGTGATTCCATTTAATTAATCTAAAGAAGTATATATATGGCCCTAGCCAGTTGCTCAGTGGCTAGAGCATGGGCCTGCAGACTGGAGGGTTGCAGGTTTGATTCCAGTCAAGGGTACATACTCAGTTGCAGGCTCAATCCTGGCCCAGTTGGGGCATGTGCGGGAGGCAACCAATCGATCGCTGTTTCTCTCTCTCTCCCTCTCTTCTACTCTCAAAAAAATCAATGGAAAAAGAATCCTTGGGTGTGTGCAGTCTTCTATATTATAGGTCTTTGATATATTCATTGAAAATATCTGAAAGGACATATATGTTATCAGTGATTATCTTTTGGGAATAGATTTGAACAGGAGGGATTTATTTATTTATTTTACAGCATATAATTCTATGATCTTTGACTCTTTTTAAGGACATATATTACTTATATATCAATAGTAAATACTGTTTATAAAGGAAAGTCCTTCATGGATCAAAATAAGCCTCAGTGGATATTTTTAAAACATTTGTAACTTTCCTACTATCGTACTATTTATTTTAAATATTTATATTGTAAATTAGCTATCGTTTTGAAATTCTTTTGTTATATAGTTATCCCCATTTAACCAAAGAGGAAACTGAGGCTTAGAGAAATAACAGTTTGCCTGACAGACACAGCTAACCTCCAAGCTCAGATGTGTTTGACTGGAAAGCCTGGGCTAGACCTACCACTTCCCTGAACATAGTTCATATGTTGATTTATTTCTTCTTGTTTCATTTTCATTTTGTTTGTTCTATTCTTCATAGGTCTGTATGCTTTGCTCTGTGGGCTATCATCTTTTTTCCTGCCATCGATCAGAAAAAACCTGTCGAAGATGGATGGCATTAGATTATGCAGGAATTTCTATTGGAATACTGGGCTGCTATGTCTCTGGAGTATTTTATGCATTTTATTGTAATAATGTAAGTAATTTAAAACATTTTTTATTCTATTTTTCCTCTAGGTTTGGAGTTTTCTTGCCATTGTTCCTTTGAAATTCTGAATAAGTACATAATTAACTTATGGAAGAGTTTTGTGTAGACCTTTGTCACTACACAATAACAGAAAACTGTCAACATAGTGGCAGTGTAAAACTAGGAAAGAGAAAAATCATAGGTTTGAATGTAAAAGTATATATGAATTGAAGCCATTTACATATGAGCCGTGTGCTTTTTAAGCCTAGTTTGGGACATAAACATGTAATTAAACTAAAAGCCTGGCCTGCACCCTCTAGCAATCCGAGACCTTCGGGGGATGTCCGACTGCCAGTTTATGGACCTAAACAGGCAGTTGGACATCCTCTAGAAATCCAGGATGTTGCATGCACCAGTGACCATACTTTTCATACAGGTTAAAAGCTTCTTGCTATTATATATAGGCAGCTACATTTTTTTTTTGCCCTGATTATAAAAAATAGCACATAACATGATTCTTCTGAGGCAGTAGTACCATTTTCCCCATCTTATTGGTGGAAAAACTGAAGCAGAGAGAAATTAAGTAATTGGCTTTGTCACACAGTTATAAGTGTCAGAATCAAGGCTGATCACAAAATGTGCAAGCCAGAGTCCATGCATGTCATCGCTGCATCATCCTGTTTTTTCAGTGTTATGGTAGTCTTGCCAGGTTTTAATTTTTAAATCTTACAGACTGTTTCCAATATATAGAGTAAGTTCCCTAGGCCTGGCCAGTGATCAGGGCCATTTGTGGGGCAACTGGCGGGCAGGGCAATTAAGGGGCCCCCGCTGGCACCCATCTTGGCTGGCAGGTCACCTCCCTCTGTCTGCTGGCACCTGCCTTGGCTGTCCTGGCACTGCACTCACCAGCCCTGCCCCCCACCAACTGGTCGTTCCACAGGTCGTTCCACTGTTCAGTCGATTTGCATATTAGAGTTTTATATAGATATTATATACATAGATTTATAAACAATTAACTTATTATAAATTGATTTTACTTTAGTAGTCAACCTAGTATGTCTGCTCATCCTTCACAGCTTGTTTATTTTGCATGAAACTGTTTATATCCTTGAAAAATGAGAGGGAACCTGCTAACTAGGAGCTTAGTGAGGACAGCCATGTAGTGTTGGATCTTTTGCTTATCTTATTCTCTGTTTCTCTGAAACCAGTTTTCTGCTTATCTTTTAGTAAACATATCAGATAATCAATGAGATTAGTCAGACACTTTTTGTAAATCTCTTCAGAAAAAAACTAGAAGTCCAGGATAGATTGAAGAGAAAGGAGAACTACTAAAGCTAACACAGTCCATGATCATTTAAGGGGAACGTTTTCTTCCCTCTGGTATCTAATCCTCCCGAATACACACTTGCTGTAGTGGCTCATTCCCTTTTGGGGAGCGCAGGCTGCTCTAGATTGCAAACTTTGGACCCTCCAGGAGAATGTACATTTGGGCACAAACTAACTAAATAATTTGACATGTGATTTAAGGAAGTGAACAGCCCCACAGAGTCCTAGGCGTCCAGGTTATGAACTCTGTCTTATGAGATGCTAACTTGTGAGCTTCAAGACCAGGTTTTCAACTGCTCATTTAGAAACCTAAATATTCTATAAGCCCTTCAAAACTAACATATTTTTCAGTAAATATTGTTTCATGCCCCCCCCCCCCGAGTTTTTTCCCCCCAATACACACACACACACACACACACACACACACACACACACACCATTTGGATCATCTTTGTTCATTTTCTCCATTGATAGAAGGTGTGTGTGGCCTTTCATACTGGAAACAGCCAAGCCATCCTGAGCTGCCCTCTCACACATCCAGTCAGCCAGTAAGACATCATTTCAAAAACGCCTCCTGAATCTGCTGCTCACCGCCATCTTCCTTGTTCAACAAGAATTCAAGCCCTCATTCACTTGTTGAGTCAGTTATTCTATCTTCTAGCTCCCTTCCTGCCACCTCATTCTTTCAACATGGGCTGTTAGAGTTTTCTTTCTAATAAGTCAGTTTGAAAAACAATCACGTCGTCCCATTCTTCAAGAACTCTGCTACATGCTAAAGCTCCACATGCTCAGTCTGACCTCCACCTGCCACTCAGCCTACATGCTAAATCTCCACATGTGCCCACATGCTAAAGCTCCACATGCTCAGTCTGACATCTACCTGCCGCTCAGCCTCCCTTCCCAAAATGCACCTGCTGCACACGGCTGCATATCCTCTTTGTTCCTTGAGGGCTCCTCTTCCCACACATTGTATTCCACAAGACCCAGCTGCAATGTCACCTCCTCTGTGAAGCATTTGTGGCCACTCCAGGTAACATTAATCACTCCCTCCTTGGTGGCTCCACAGCATGCTGGTGATAACACGGTTACAGGACTCATCACTAGATTGTAATCATTTGTTTACACGTCTGCCCCTCCCGCAGTCTATGAGCTCACCCACTGGGTGAGTCCGTGTCATAGTCATCTTTGTTTCTACAGGACATAAATTGTCCCTAGCATATACTAGGTGGGGATCATTTGGCCCTCTGGCCGTACAGAACAAGGCCTGCAAAATCATTTGGTCTGGACCCGCCAAGGCATTAGGGGTGAGTTAATTAAACGTTTGACCAAATATAACAGGCTAATTTTTATTTTCTATGGCCCTCAAATGATGTTATAAATAGCCCAATGGCGATTGGCAAAAGAGGTTCCCATCCCTGTAATCGATACTCAGAAAATGCTTTTTATAATAAATGTGGTCTCTTAACCAACTCACCTTGAAATTTGGTTTATCATCCTGAGAAACCTAAAAGTTGTTTAAAAGTTGTTTAGTTGTTTAAACCTATAAATGGAACGTGCATTTTTTTTAAGGAAGGAAGGTAATCTTGTTCTCAAATGCAAATACCAAGCCAATAATTTGGAATGTGTGAGCAGAAGCCATAATTACTTTTTTCCTTCCCTCGGCAATAACAACTAAAACCTGATGGCCTTTCATTCCAGTATTGGCGGCAGGTGTACCTGATCACAGTGCTTGCTATGATCCTGGCAGTGTTCTTCGCGCAGATCCATCCCAGTTACCTCACTCAGCAGTGGCAGAGGCTGCGTTCCATCATCTTCTGTTCTGTTTCGGGATATGGCGTCATTCCTACTCTTCACTGGGTTTGGCTCAATGGAGGCATAGGTGCTCCTATTGTACAGGTGGGTTGAGAGGAGACCACATTTTCCCTATTTTTTGTGACCTTTTGATTTTATTCCTTTTGGGTAAAGTAGTATAATCAGACAAGTGGCTGAGACCTTGTCATTTGAAAACATATTTTTAGTGACATACTGATGCCATAATTTAAACACCTACCCAAACAAGCATGTCTTACACTATAAGTGTGGTACGCGTACCCCCAGGGGTATGGAAAAGTTTAGTAGGGGTACGCGTTGCACCGGAGTTTGGTGGGGATATGCACTGCATAGTGCTTAGTTGCGCCTAATTCTATATTCTCATGAGTGCGAGGGGTACTCAGCGTTACGAAAATTATAGAAGGGGTACACATATGTCAAAAGTTTGGGAAACACTGTACGGGAACAGAAGTCAAATCTAATCACCATTTTATTCTGAGATGGCTTTCTGTGAAATAATACCTTCTGAATTCTCTATTTTTTCTGGGAGTGTAAGTACCTAAGTCCTTGCCTGATAAGGATGACTCACATTTCTAACTTTGTCAGCTGAGGCAAAGAGAATGCTCATGATAATGCAAGTACAGAAACAGGAGCAGTTGGGTGATGTGTGCGTATGGGTAGAGGAGAAGGAGTTGGGAAGGAAATTTTTCTTGGACCCGTTGAATCTGAGGTACCTGTGGATATAAAAGTGGAGATAGATTATAGAAATAGGTTAGAGTTTGAGACTAGTGATTAAGATTTGAAAATCATGCCTGACCAGTGTGGCTCAGTGATTGAACATTCACCTATGAGTCAGGATGTTATGGTTCCTTTTCTGGTCAGGGCACATGCCCAGATTGCAGGCTCAATCCCCAGTAAGGGCGTGCAGGAAGCAGCTGATCAATGATTTTCTCTCATCATTGATGTTTCTATCTCTCCCTCTCCCTCTCTGAAATCAATAAAAATATATTTTTTAAATATTTTCAAATCATTGTATTGGTAGCTGGAGTCATAGAAGCATATTTCATCAACCAAGGAAAGTATATTAAGAAATAGAAGCTGTTAGAGATATTACAGAAGCATAGTTGGAGTGCATTAGGAAGGACCTCAGTGAGAAAACTCCTATACATTCTTGAAGATTCGAAATAAGACATTCTTAGAAATTCATAGAAAAATGCACTAGAGAGTAAAGTTAAGAATTTTTAACTTAAGTAAGCATGCCCACAAATGCAGTGGAAAACAGTATACTTTTTACAATAGGAACTTTGTCTGGAATATAGGTTGTATTCAAAAGAATTAGCATTTTTTTTAGAAGTGGGAGGACTAATAGTGGGCTTATACTTGCGTGAAGTTGGCAGCACCGTGGTGAAAAACATTTGGGTGTAAAAATGAAAGGAGGTAGTTCTGTGATCTAGTGAATCGGAGTGGTAGGATCTGTGTGGCCCGTTTGCCAACTCGAGGACAAGGGCGATGCTTTCCTCCTCAGACGAGGAAATTGGGAGAAAGATGAGAGTGTTGTGAGGAGGAACTTCAGTGAACCTATTATCTGTGAAAACACTGTTTTCTGAGAATTGTGATTTCCTGAAATGAGTAAAGGAAAATGGAATAAGGGGCTACCACTCTCAATTCAGTTCTAAACAGAAATTGATAACTGATTGTTGACAGAGAAGTGACCAAAAGTTTGGGATGAGTGACACAGCCTTTTAAGCTTGTAACAACAAAGAAAGAGAACCAGACCCATTAAGATAATGGATTTTACAGAACTCAGAGAAAAAAAAAATGGGAACTTTCCCATGTTCAAAAATCTTAAGATAGAAATCTGGCTTAGGAAGACAGTGGTTCCCAGATGGAAATCTAACATACTCAGGCCATTCCCGTGGAGAAGCAAAGGGAGACTTCCAGGGAAATCTCTAGTACGCTCTGATTTTTAAGAGATGGGAAGAACAACACAACCAAAGATGAAAAGATCCAGGAGAACTAATTCTGGGAGGTGGGGTGGAGTCAAGTTCTAGAATGTTTGAGAAATCTTAGGTTGGGATTAATCTAAGGATATAGAATTTAGGGAGGGCCGGGATAATTCTCAGATATTTGAAAAGGAAAGAAAAGTAGTTTGTCTTTATTTCTTTATTGGGCTCTGAGAAAATTGGATTTATAACCAAATTAGGTATATAATCGATAGCTGGCTGATCATCTTAGGGTAGGGGTGTCGAACTCAATCAGAGAAGGGGCCAAAATCTAAAATCCAGCCTAAATCGCGGGCCGAATGGTTTACTGAACAGTCATAAACTGTCATTGTGATGGAAACGCAGCGGAGTGCAGTGATGACAGCGCGGTGCGGGCCACATTGCAAGGCCTGGCGGGACGGATTTGGCCCGCGGGCCTTGTGTTTGACACATGTGTCTTAGGGCAAGGAAATGCTGATTGAGCTGTCAGATAGACTGCTTCATAATAGTATTCATCAGGGCCATGTTCCCAGGATAGTGGAACAGACTTCATTACTGGGCTAAACCTCTTGGGTCTTTCAGCCCAAGTCCCTGGTCTTCTGTCTTTTTACTTATTCCTGTGGTAATTCCATCCCAGATGCACTCACCCAGATGCCTATTAGATGGATTGTTGACGTAGGTCCTTCAACCTTGTTAAAGTTCTGGCTCCTTTAGTACCTAACCTTTAGGGCACTCTAAATTCCACTCTTGTGGACTGCTTTCTGCAGTATTAAGAGTGAGGTTTCTGACACTGGAGACTGTCTGCAAAAGCAATTGAGATTTAGCAGACTTAAATTCCACCTATAATTTCAGCCTGTAAATTGGATTCATAATAAACTGGGGTTTCAGCCACAGTGGGAGACCTGTGAACAGTGTGTTTTGCTTTCCAGGACTTTGCACCCCGTGTTGTTGTGATGTACGTGATCGCACTTCTTGCTTTCCTGTTCTACATTTCCAAAGTCCCAGAGCGGTACTTTCCAGGTGGGTATTGCTTGTATAGTGACTGAGTAACTTTATTCTGAGTATAGATTGTTGACATGTAAACTTAAGATGTACTTTTTCAATACCATTGCTTATGGAATGGCTCTCCTATTCTCAAATGTTATCTAAAACTTGAACTTTCAAAGGGTTTTCACAGATTTTTTCTGTCATCCTCACATTATAGATTGAGTCCAATAGGTGTGGACTCAAGCCCAGGATATGAGCCCAGGTAAGCTTTGGCTGAGTCAGGAGTAATATGAAAGCCGTGCTGTTTCAGGTGGGGGGCCAGGATGAGGGGAGTAGATAAACTCAAACTGCAGACTTGGCCTTCCTTTCTCCTGAGCTGAGAATCACTTTCCCGGTGGATTGAAGGTGCCGCTGCTCACGTGTGCAGGGGAAGAAGAGAATGAATAGAACATAGAACCTGCAACTTTCCTCTGTACACTTTGCTCTCAGCACTGAGTTTTATAGAATGGAACACAAAGAAGAACCTGAGTGTTATAAATAAACGTTAGGATTCAGGACCATAGTTAGGACATGTCCCTGAATTGGGAGACCACCCAACCTCCAAGCGAGGCTGGAATTTTCCTCAGAAAACAGTTCTGGTAAAATACATGTTTGTATCACTTTATCAATACTTCTTTTGAAAAGCGTTTCCTCTTCATCACAGACATGTAGAAAATTAAGCCATGAACGTTCTCCAGCATTTGTAGGCCATAAAATACTCAGGAGTTCCCAATTGTCTAATATAGGACATTTATAAAAGGTCAAATGTTAAGTAACTTAACATTCCAGCTAGGTGAACTTGACATAAAATGTGGCCCATGTGGCTTAATGTTGGTGCAGGATAGAAACCTTTGAGCAGTGATGTGGGAACCGTGGAAAGTCTACAGATAAAAGTGACAGTCTCAGATGTTTACAGACGCGAGGCTTAAGGACCTTGTCTGGCCATGTGCATTGGTGACGAAATGGTGGGTGAATACTGTGAAATCAAAGAGACTTAAACCTTGCCCAACTGGAGTGGCTCAGTGGTTGAGCATTGACCTGTGACCCATTCTCAGTCAGGGTACATGTTGAGTGTGTAGGAGACAGCCAATCAATGATTCTCTCTCATCATTGATGTTTTTGTTTCTCACTCCCTCTCTCTTCCTCTATGAAATCAATAAAAATGTTTTTAAAAGAAAAAAAACTTAAACCTAAAAACTTCCTTTCAGCTCAGGTTAAATTTTTAATATATAAACATCACAATGTATTTAATGAATTCAAGCATCCCTCAGGTGTCCATGGACAGGATTTAGTAGCTCTGCGATACTTGTGTAACAACATAATCACCTTTCTTTTTAATCCTGGGTATTCTTGGTTTTTAAAAATGAATTTATAGCCCTGACTGGTTTGGCTCAGTGGATAGAGCATCGGCCTGCGGACTGAAGGGTCCCGGGTTCCATTCCAGTCAAGGGCATGTATCTTGGTTGCGGGCACATCCCCAGTAGGGGGTGTGCAGGAGGCAGCTGATAGATGTTTCTCTCTCATCGATGTTTCTAACTCTCTATGCCTCTCCCTTCCTCTCTGTAAAAAATCAATAAAATATATTTTTAAATAAAAAATAAATGTATAGATTTCATAAGACTGTCAAGGGGTCCATGACACACAAAAAGGTGCAAAAAAAAAACCTACAGAAATATTTCTATTGTCTGGCATTTTAAAATCTACATAGTGTACTGGTTTTCTTGGTAGGACAAAAGAAAGAAAAAGATTAGAGATGTTTGCTATACAAGAAAAAATTATTTAATTCTGGATTTCATTTCATTATCTTTTCAGAAGCTTCCCACATGTTAATTATGTAATCTCCTTGGAATTTAACATTTAACCACTAAGAGAAATAGTTCTCCTAAGTTGTATATGAATTAACCAACCTTAATTAACCCATCACTAATAAATTTTGCAGATTATTTCATTAGTGTGATAGTTCAAGATGCAGATATGAGCTCTCTCCTTGCACGGCTGCTTGAAATAAAAGTGCTCCTAGCAGACTTAGAGCCAACATCACAGTGCATCTGCTTCATGCCAACTTACTCTGTGATCGGAGCATGGGTTTCCTCTGCTTCTCTCATGCAGTGTCTTTTCTTCATCAGATAAAAGGTGACACAAGGGAGATTAAAGGTCAAATTCCTGAAATTAACCAAAATAGATGGTTGAAAGCACATTTGGAATAGTATTTCTAAAATTCACCAGTGTACTACTTTATGAATAAAACCTTAAAATTAGTCTCAAATATGAATCTTTCCTTTCTTGAAAAATATTTGGGTCTCAGTTAATCTCAAATCAGTTTCTTGGAGCTCTGAGGCTTACCAAAATCTTTTTGCTATAGAGCTGTACTTCCAAAGCCAGAGATAAACTTTATTTTTATTCTAATGTCAAAATATTACAACCAATATTCTTTTCTCTCTACCTTCCTTTCCAGGACAACTAAACTACCTCGGATCGAGCCACCAAATCTGGCATATCCTTGCAGTAGTGATGTTATATTGGTGGCACCAGTCAACAGTGTACGTCATGCAGTACAGACACAGCAAGCCTTGCCCCGACTATGTCTCCCATTTGTGAATTCAGGTATATTTAGCTACCTGGTGTGATTGGCTGTTAAGCAATATATAACGGGGAGTTGTATACCCCAATATTTCTAAGATCCCCATTAGTTCTTCCTTTTCCTATTTAATATATCATGAGTAATACCTTCTAAAAAAAAAAAATGGAAAAATACGTCGGGAGCTGTAATAGTAACTGCTTTGCAAGCCCTTAAAACTACTATTTTGCTCCTTGTACAGGAAGTGAAAATTAATTGGCAATGAATGTGAAACCAGTGTCAAAACAGTATTCATTTTACTCACCACCAGCTTAATTTCCGTAGGAAGGGCTCACCTCCATTACGAAATGGGGTCACCCTGTGTGAATACTTAGATAGAAAATATTTACAGATGATCAAGTGCCTAATCAAGGCGAGGGTTGTGACAGCCTATGCTGAACATAGGCTAGGACAGTGATTTTTGAACCATCACTAGCCTTTGAATACATGGTTTGTGAGAAACTGGCACATGCGATGTTATTGCCTTTAGCCATGGGTTCTCTTCTCCCTAGGAACATGGGATTTTTTAGTTTGCTGGAACAAAAATTTTAAACCTCTTCTTCTTTAAGTTGAAAGAGGTGTTGAGAAGAGAACTTGCATTGTCATTTCCCATCAGATAAGAGTGGCATTGCAAGCTATGTGATCAGGTGAAAAATTCTATGATCTGATAACCAACTAATCAGCCATTGAAGCTTTTTTAATTTCAAATATCGTTTAAGTTTATATAATAATTGAACTCTTGCCAGTGGAGTGCAGATATTTAGTTCCAAAATCCCTGCAGCAGAAAAGCTTTCACCTCTGAATTTGCAATCCTAGACTCCCTGATGATTAGGGGAGGCACGGGGTTGGGGGGGGGGGGGCAGTTTCCCAGCTATATGGGTGCTACTTTTAAGGCCATAAAATCTAGATGGCCGGGTCTTGACCCTGAAATGAACCTTAAGCCTTAGAACAAAGTCATGCAGATGACCCATTTGATGGCAGATTCACCTGTGCTGTGGTCTTTCTCTGTTTATGCACGTGTTAACATTGTATTGATAACTCAGGAGTGTTGATACATACTAATATTTGGGCCTGTGACATTAATTTTGCATTTTGTTGTATATACTTAAAAAGTTACCAATGCCCTATCATACAATAAAACACTCTTGCTCTTTGGTCTTTTTTCATATGCCTAAGTTAAATCCCTTAAAGCAGTCATTCATAAAAACATGTGGATTATTGGAATATTATCCAGGTTTCTTAATAGGTTGACAGGAACTCCTTTAAATATTGGTATGTCTTCAGAACTTTGGAATTTCTAAATATCAGAAGTGTTAATGGTGAAGCTTATTCCCAAAATGCCATTTGTATATCTTGATAGTAGGAATGTTAACTTCACTGTGCCTCAGTTGATGCATCTATAAAATTTTGTTTGTTTTTTTTCAGTGTAGTGTTTTTGTAATATAAATTCCCCATGCTGCTATCTCAGTGAAAAGAGTTTCTCCCCCGAGGGCCAACGACACACTGTATTTTGGTGGAACACTGCTCTTTGAAGATAACAATTTTATCTCATAAGTATACTTTTTAAAAATATATATATATTTTATTGATTTTTTTTTTTTTTTTAGAGAGAGAAAGGGAGAGTGATAGAGAGATAGAAACATCAATGAGAGAGAAACATCCCATCAGCCGCCTCCTGCATGCCCCCTACTGGGGGAATCAAGTCCACATCCAGGAGTGTGCCCTGACCTGGAACTGAACCAGCAATCTCTTGGTTCCTAGGTAGGTCGACACTTAATCACTGAGCTGCACCAGCGGGGCTCATAAGGCCACAAATTGGATCCATGTGCTAAATAATAAGATTCTGGTATAATGATAATAGGATACATTTTCCCTAAAACTTCCCTTATTGGCTTACATGAATATTATTGCTTTAAAAAAAAATGTTTTTATTGATTTCAGAGAGAGGAAAGGAGAGGGGGAGAGGAATGGAAACATCAATGATGAGGGAGAATCATCAATCGGCTGCATTCTGCACACCCCCCACTGGGGACAAAGCCTGCATCCTAGGCATATACCCCGATCATTGAACCTCAACCTCCTGGTTCATAGTTCACCCCTCAATCAATGAGTCACACCAGCAGCCGGTTGATATTATTTGTTTTCAATAGATATTTTGTCATTTTTGCCAAACAAAATACACTACTTACAATTAATTTAAAAATGAAGAAGTCTACTAATTTGAGGTCTGGTATCATTTTTGTTATAAAATCTTCTCAAAAACATATTGAAACCTTAAGTTTTATTTTAATTTTTAAAAATATTCCTGAATTTTTGTTATAGTGTATGGTTTATAGTACTTGTCATCTGAATTAATAAATAAAAAGAACATAATGTGTTTAAAACTGTTTTTCAAGTATAAAAGGTCTGACTGTAAGAATTATACCATGTAAACATTTCATCTTTTCATGAAAGTGTTAAATATTATAAGAAAGCTGTCCTTTCTCATTCTTATCTTTACTATGGTGTATTTACTGTAACATAGAAATGAATGAATGTGGATTGCTGTCAACTATAAACACTTCAGTATGTCAGCATTTATTGACCATCTACTGTGTGCACATCACTACTGGCAAAATTTTTAAGGCACTGTTAACATTAAAGAATGACTATGTAAAAATTGCCTTCAAATCTGAGCCTTGTAATAATGTATATTTAAGTTATTTTTGTTTTACTGGTTTTATTAAATTTTTAATATTACCTATGTTAAAGTGCTTTACTGACAGACTTTACATTTTAAGATTACCCATGGCTGCTTTAAATTGTTTATAGTGATTTATAAGGTTGTAGTTAACTCATTTAAGACACAATTATCTTTCTATATAAGGCATTTTTAAATAGCAAGATTAGTGCTTGTCTTTGTTATTCATCTGAGTGCAATTCACAAGCTGCATGGCAAAATACGTATTATGTAAATAAACTGGTTTACTATATATATTTAGTGCTGCTCTTCATTCTTTATAATACATAACAGTCTCAAAATCATGTTTTAGAACCAGGAATGAAGAGTCAGGGAATATCTGTCACACCTTATGACTCCCACCTGGACAAAGTAACCGATTTTAAGGCTGTGATTGACTGGCATAGAGCTGTACCTGTTGGGCAGGTATGTACCTACCTAGATATACCCTTTACCCTGTATTAAATGTCAAGGGGCCACGCCTGCCTTCCAGATGCCTGCCAGCTGCTGAGCTGCGTGGGTCCACATCCACTCCAAATCCTCACTTTCAGTCATTCCTCCTGTCCAAGAACGTGAAGTCAGCTCAGCTAGTGGACAAGGGGCAGAAGTTCTGCATGCGTTATCACAATAACTGCTTATATGGGAGAGGCACAGATGCTACTGAAACTCTGTACCATACTTCCTCAGCAGGGTAGGGAGATAATGATCCAAAACGGAAACTTACTGTTTTCAGAAGGAAGATGAAGTAGCAGGAGGGGTCTCAGGTGAAAGTAAAACTTCCATCTTCAGAGGGCAGGACTGATAGCCACACAGGGTCTAGTACTACTCTATAAAACTGGGTTCAGAAACACTACAGAACAGAGTTGTCATTTCAACGGTGTCAAGCATCTGGAGCAAAAGTGAACTATCTTTTTAAACGTGCCACAAGTAAAACTCAGATGCTCGTGCCTTCCATATGACACTGCTCACACCTCACAGGATGCTGGAGCCGAACTTACCTACAAAGGGACTAGCTGTTCAATACTGACAGCTCTAGTTGCGGCATGTATTTGTCTCTAAAGAAGTTAACTTTAACTGAATTTGAACAATGGTACATTCCACAGTTCTTTTTTTATATAACTTCTAATTTGTGATATTTTGCTCCTTTGTACCATTTATTAAAAAGACACAAAGGCCTTATTTTTCCACATAACTTTAGATAAATGTTACTACTTACACAACAAAAAAGTCCATTCATAACAGACAAGATAAACCTTTCCACAAGCCACCTCTCTAAAGACTCCAGGCTGTGGAATAAATACCTCAGATAATACATATTGCGACACTGATGCCAAAGTGAGTCCAGCAAATTCTCTTTATCTTGAAAAGCCTCTTTTCTGACATAACCAAGGAGTACAATATTTTATTTAACCAAATTAAGTTATGTAGGTTACCAGTTTTTAAAGTTTTAAAAATTAAGCATAATACCTAAACTATGCCAAATATTCAAAAGGTACTTCAAAGTCTTACGTTTTTGCTTCATCTTCATCTTAAGTATCTGTAATCGCAATGCCTGAAGAAATTGTGTTATTAAATATTTTTGTGGCAAAAATGCCATGTCAAAATGGGTTTTCTTATTTGAAGCCTAAACTGTGAACCCAGAGATCCAATTCTATTCATTTTTCTCTTTCACTGGCTGAGACATCGTAAGTGCTTAATGTCTGTGGTGTGAATGAAATAAGAGAATAGAAGTTTGCAACCAAATTTTTCAATAAGACAAATAATGAACAACTCCAAAGTCACTGATTATAAAGAATATGCAATCCATTTGAGATTTATTGCATTTAAAGAAAGCAGATTATTAAAACAGGTATGATAAATACAGTAAGAAAATAACTTTAAATTTCAAACAAAACAAAGTGAATGGGGGACAGAATTCAGTCAATAATAAGCAATGTCAAGGCAAAGTAGTAAAATCAGTTAGTGCTTAATTAAAGGGAGAAAATAAAAGCAACTGGTTCTATCTCATAACAGTTACCCAGCTATATCTGAAGTTACCATAGAAAGTACGTTTTGTAACTATTAGAAATATAATAAAGATGTTAATCAGGCTTAATAAAAGTTATTTGCTTAGTGGTACATAAAAGGCTTCAGAAAATTCAAGTTTAACAAAAAATGGAAATGTAATCAAAGAAAGTGCACTTAAAGCTGTTTGCCAGCAATTAAAAAGTAGTTCATTACCATACTGCTTACTATAGATGACTTTCAATCACGAAAAGAGCTAGGAATAAAAACAATTCTTTCAGGAATAGCACAATTAGTTTTTAATAAAAACCACCCCAAATGATGGCCCATTGCATTTTCCTGTCTACCGTATTCTTTCAGTGGCTTTTGTAAACCCTCATGAGGAGTGAAAGTTCTTTTAGCAATGATTGTGGTTGCAATTCCATTTAAAATTCACATTAACTCTACTGAAGAGACATGTGCATGTGTGTTTACATATTTCTCTTAATATATAAACACCAGTGTGTATAAAAGTTTTCAAAATAAACTATCATTTATGTTATTCTCACAGTAAGTATGCCATCTCATTCTCACAGTAAATCTGTCAGCTCAAGATTGAACCTAAAATGATGGTAATTTTGCTTAAAAAGGAAAAAAAAAAAGTGTACTGCACGTTCTACATGTATGAAAACTAATGTACCCAAACTCCTCAGGACCTGTGATACCAATACACATGTACCTTCTAGCAGTGCCTGTATGAAGTACCAAAACCTAAGAGGAGCCAAGCAGAGCAGCTGAGTAGTGAAAACTGCCCTGTCTGGTGAACACCAGAGCAGAAGAGGGGGCTCCCCTTGGTATTCCACCAGCAAGGTGAGGACAAGACTCATAGCTGTTAAACAAAAAGCAGGGCAGGGTTAAAGGGAACATTTATCTACAATCCCAATAATGTTGTAACTGTGCCCAAATATGTACACACACACACACACACACACACACACACACACACACACAAGGGTCAGTGGAACAATTACACCATTTCCCAGGCTGATCCTTTTGTATAAATATTCTAGTCTAACTTTCATCCAGCCTACAGCTAGCCTTTCCTCTTTCACCCAACACTTATACCAAGCAACATTTGCGTCTTGATAGATACATTCTTCAATGCCATAAAAGCTAATCTTTAACACCTAACATTTTGCTGAAGTGATACTATTAAAATAATTGAGCAAATGGTCCACTTTTAGAAAGATTATTCAAAATCAACAAGCATGATTAAAGCTGTTAGGGCAGAAATAACTTTGGCCTCGGATTTTTGCTAGCTTCATATTTTACTTCCCTTAGTGATGTTTGTTCAAGTATTACAGGTTTAGAGTTATAATTATTTAACATGCACAAAGCACACCTGATTGACAGGAATATAATCTCAACTTTCCTTCCCTTAACAAGAATTGGATCACCCATCATAGAGCCAAACTTCCCCTGCGTGCAGTGTGCCAAGTGTGTGCCAATCTTTTTCACATGCTTTGGGAGTTTTATTTCTGTAATTCTCACAAGGGAATGAGCTGGGTGTCAGCTGTGTGGAGCTGTGTGTATATCCCAACAGCAGTGGGAGAGATGACTGGAAATGGAAAGCAACCCTCATCCTGTGCTGCTGCGGGGAATGCTCTACTCCTCCAACAAGAACCCCCCCCCTCCTCCTCCTCCCTCTCCTCCATTGAATCCTGTGCTTCCTCTGAACTATAATCTGTAGAGGAGAGTCACTGGGCTGTGACATAAGAAATTTAAAAATGTAAATATTTTAAACAATGTCAAAGTTGTTTCTTTAGAATTTATCCACATTATAACCCAGAGTCCAAGTCACTTAAACATATTCAATGTATTGATACACAATCCTGGGCATGTGCCCTGCCCAGGAATCAAACCATGACCTCCTGGTTCATAGATCAACACAACCACTTAGCCACCTGGGCTGGGCTGGGCTGGGCTAGAACAAAAGCAAATGTAAGCAAGGCCTTAGTACCAAAGAGAGTCTAGTTCATGTTTACATCCCATGGAGACCACACTAATTCATCCACCACCTCTTCTAAATCACAGAACTCCTGAGGTCTAGCAGAGACCAAGGCCAAGGACTAAAACAGTCAAAAAAGCGTACTGTGTACACATCAACCAACAGATTTTCATTTTAAAAATTTTCTTCTGTTTGATACAAACCTACTGTAGTTCATGAATTTACTGTATATAATCATCAACTCACTTTTAAAATAAAGTATCCGTGAATCTACTTTGTAAATTTTTAAAGAACATCTACTTAAACATGTGCATTAGCAGTACTATTCAACCTGAGAATCAGAAAGAAAGAAAAAAAAAAAAGGTGCAAACATAGTATTTGCCTTTGGCACACACAGGACAAGTATGGTAATCGGGCTCCAAAGTGCAGCACTTAAGCAGTGATGTGATGCTTGATCTGCCTCTGCTAACTGTGACTCACACATTGCTTCCCTATCAGTCCACAAATTTGTTTCTGCTTTAAAAGAGAAAAGAGAGGCAATAAAAATGAATATGTGGTCTGGTTACATATACTCTGCTGCTTCCCAAGTTTAGAACTGTGAAAACAAGCAAATGGCTCATCCCAACTGGGATACTATCAAGAGATTCTTAATAAGATTACTCACAAAATACACTTTACCTGGGTTCAAAGAGAATTTAAAACATAGCAATTAGGGAGAGTGCCAGTTGACAAGAGTTTCCACCCTTTCTGTGAATAGCTTTCACAGAAACTTCTACATGTTAATTTGATAGGGAAAAGGGGACAGTAAATTATAATTTAAAATACTTGAAGACACATTAGTTCATATATTTAATTTCTATCTTATTAGACAGTTCCTATAAAATCTCAAGTTTCTAATTAGGATTTGTGGTATAAAAAAAAAAAAAAAACACAACAATTTGGTAGCTGAGTTCTTTTCACTAAAGACACAATCAACTAGCAGAGTTAAGACACTAGTTGCTCATCACCTGATACCTTTTACTAACTATGATGTAGCCGGTGTAAGGCGGACAGCCCCGCAGAGGGCAGAGGTTCCCGGCAGGATTCCGGCCCTGCCCATTAGGCAGGGGGCTGTCACTGCTCTGTGCACTTCATTACAATGACCCTCCCCTTTCTCCACCCGGAACCTTACTAAGGAAGCTGTCGCTCTTGACTTGGGGAGTATTGGCGAAGGTGGTGATTTAATAGAGAACATGATTTTACATTGTAAAACATCTTAAAAACTCAGGGTTTCAGCTACAGCTTTTCTTTTTTTCTGAAGTAAAAATTCCATATAATTCATCTCCTCACTCCCAGTTTTCCAATAATCTCTTTTATTAGAGACGTGAAAATAAAAGTTGTGAGCACGAAGCCATTCAGAAGCGGAACAATAGATGTTCAAGTACTGTTTTTTTTTTTTCTTTTTTATATCATTTTTTTCTTTTAGATTTTGCACACATCAGGTATCTCTCAAGTTTTTGTTCTAGGCATCTACGTAGATATTCCATATTAATGGCACTTGTTTTTTAAAAATGAAGGTTTTAGGCACGACAGTTATTTCTGGCTCTGTTTTGTAGGGAAAGGTAGAAGGATTAGAATCTCTGCATTCCCCAGATAACAACCTTCTGATTCTTTGTGAAGACAGGATACTGTTTTACTGTTGGAAATTAGAAGGACCCTTAAAAAATCCACAAGGGCAGCTTGTATGTGTACAGACAGCCTTGGCTTTAATGCTGGATTCCGGAATGAGCCTGGATGGGCACACAGACATGATTTTCTGGTATAAAAATAACGCACATGTGGAGCCAGGCCACACGCATCCCCTGGATTTCAGTGCTGTGGTCAGGTCAGTAGCTGAAACCCTGGCCAGAGCTTCCGAAGCAGCTCCCTCTTCCCGCCTGGAAGAGACACCGAGTCACTACCCTGTGGAGATACTTCCTTTTGCTATTTGGTTTATTTAAAAATCACCTCTTGTGATTGAATTCTAAGAATGAATGATATAAAGAGCTATACAAGTACACAATGGCAGATTCTGTGGAAATACCCGGTGGTGGCCTTCAGGTTCTGGCTATTCCCCCTCCTAGACTGGCCATCCTGTCAGCTATGACCATACTAGCAAGTCCAATGTGGGTTATTCAGCGGATTGGAGGTGGTACCACAGCAGCAATGCTGTCACTACTTCTAGCAACCTTTCCCCAGTTGTACGATACAGTTCCCCAGATTCATGTGTACATCATGGAAACCAGAGGCCTTTCAAGTCAAGATGGTGACCTAGCCCCATGGATAGTGGACAACATTGAGGTGACTGGTGAAGGGAAGTACAAGAACATTATAGTGGCGTTGTCTTTAATGTACCATTTAGTACAAAAGCCTCAGCAAAATCCTGTTGAGCAAATCCAAAGGAGGTTCAAGCTATGTTTGCTACAGTCCGGCCCGGAGTTACACCACACATTACCGATTTGTACACCTCAGCGGACTTTACAGAGGCAGCCTCATCGCTCTCCGGCAGAGGATGAGAAGCTTGCTACGGGGTTTACTGGGCATCCGAGAATGTGTGAGAGTTGGACCTACTGAACATGCATTTGTAGCCCAAGTAAAATTAGTTGCTGAAATGACTCCCTACATCACTATTAAGTCCTTTGTCCATGAAGGCATGTCTCACACAAGCTTCCAACAGGGGGTTGGTCATGAGATAAACAAATGTATGGATGTTTGAGGATAAACTGCTCGAGAAATATGGTCCTGCCATGTTTCCTTCCTTGAAGGCTCTAAGGCTTGAAGGTCTTGACCTGCTTGCCCTAGCATGTTTTCCAAATCTGTGCAAGGTTGCAAACACTCGCAAGAGGAAAGCTGACCCTACTTTCAGACCCTAAGTCCAATAAGGAACAGCTCTCCCCATTTACCTGAGAAGGAGATGGATGCTGTGTTGTCTAAACCACCAATAAAGAAACGCATTCTCGATAACAAAGATGCTGAAGGAATAAGAGCTGCCTACCGCCTAACTGATCAAGACATTAGCGCAGCAATGGAATCTTCTGAGCCTCAAACCACCATTGACATAATCAAGCAGTTCTTGGTTGCCTTAGTTGCAAACAGCTCTTGACCTTAATTTAGAAAAAAAAGAAGAAAAAAAAAAGAGCTATACAAATAAATTTCCTGTCAAATTCATAAAACTATTCATCCTTTTTTGAAACAGGGGTTAACACCAAGAGTCTCTCACAAGTCTCTACTGTTTGGAAGGAAACGGAGCAGCACCAAATGGGTCTAATTCGATGGCCTGGGGCTGTTGGGCCTGAGGTGAGGTGATGCTCTGCACCACAAGTTCTGTAAAGGGCACGGCACCAAAGTCGTCCATCTTCAGCGCCTCTGAGCTGTGAAAGGACCCGTGGAGTGAGTTGGGTCTGGGCCACCCGGGCAGCACGGGGTTGTGGTCGGCGCGGATGTCGCCCAGGCCCTGGTGGGAAGGGTGCCATGGCACGTCCGGGGGGTGGAAGGGCTTGGCCCCAAACGGGTCCAGCAGACCCTCCTCGGGAGGCAGGACGTTCCCCCTGTCCTTCCCATCCGTCAGCGCGATGCTGATGTTCTCCTTGGAGTCCGAGATGGTCAGGAACTCGTTGCTGCTCTGCGAGTCGCGGCGGCCCACCTTCTTGTGCCTGCGGGCCCGCTCCGGGGTGCGGTAGGTGGGCTTCACCACCTTCTTCGCGCTGGTGGGCGTGCCGTGGTGCCGCTTCCCGTTACTTTTGGACAAGTCCTGCTTCGTGCGCCTTTGGCGAGAAGATAGCTTCTGTAAGCTACGCTGCTTGACTTTCTGCTGCTGACTCCCCGTTATCTCCTCGAAGGGCACCAGGCCGAAGAGGTCCTCGCGGCTGTCACTTTTACCCGTGGGCGTGGGGAAGGGCTGAAACGGAGTGGAGCCAAATATATCCACGCTCTTGGGACAGCCGGGGAGCGTCTGTGCTTCCGGCCCCGCGGCACGGCCGTCATGGACGTTCACCTTCTTGCTGAAGGGGGCCTTCGTGAACACGTCAAATTCCTCCTGCTCCAGGCCCACAGCAGGAAAGCAGGGCTGCCGAGGGAGGCTCTTCTCATGCTCTCCCTGCTGGGGCTGTTGAGCACGCACCACAAAGAAGGGGACAGCGCCAAACACATCGAACTCCTGTCTGGGAGTCTTTACTCCTGCGTTAGGGGGCACTGGGGGTGAGCTGGGGAGCGCTGCCTTCGGGTCTTGGACTGGTCCACTGCCGGGTTTGTCTCTGTAGGCGGGGCTCCCAGTGCTGTACTTGACTTTGGCCTGTTCATCCTCCGAATCAGAGCTGTGTTTCTCTTCCTCTTCCTCATCCTCAGAGTCCATGAGGAGAGGCCTGTGACCCAGATTTTCCGGTTCAGTATCGTCATCGTTGAAATCCTGTCCCCCCTGAAGAACTTCTTCATCCTCTTGCTCTTCCTCTTCACTGCTCTTAGGAGAAGGGGGATCCGATTCAAAATCGCTTTCAGACTCGTCATTTCCCTTCTGCACCTGGCCCTGTATGGATGAATTCTCGGAGGTTTTCTTTCCAGCCCGGTGGTCTTTAGACACTGGACTTGTCTTTTTACTCTTCATTGGGGCTGCAGGGATATTTTCTTGATTCGGGGATAAATGTTCGATTTTCTTTTCAGGAGAACCTGCAGATTCAAAGAAAAACCATTATAGAATTCTAATGCATTTCAAAAACCATTTGCAATAAACAGTATTTTCTAACACAAAGCATTCCAAGTCCCTCAGAACAGTTCTCTTAGAGTAAGAAATAAGGCCAGTTAGGCTCAGGGAATGCCATTTGTCCCCAACTGAATGGCCAGGTCCTTCAGAGCAGACACTTACTTGTCTCTGTCCCTACGTGCCACCTACTACTCATCTCTGACCCTCACCTACAGGTAAGTTTTATTTATAATACCTGGCATAGAACTCTGAATAAATACACAAGCAGGTCTTCTTCTCCCACTTTCAAAATGAGATTATTCAGACAAATGCCCCTGCAATTACTTACTTATATTTACCAACCTTTGCTACATTTCATTGTTATAGCGTTTGATATCTATATAGAGATATCAACAAGCATGAATAGCTTGCCTGCTCAATTTTGTGTTTCACTTTAATTTTCTTAATTGACATTCGTTTTTGTGTTTTTTTTGTAATTAGTATAAAGTCAGGTTAGCATGGAAGCTCTGCACTGAGGCTGAACCAGGGGCATCTGCCTTCTCCAGATGACACAGCTCCCTTCATCATTTCTACACCAGTAGACACTACATTAAAAGCATATGCCACCCATACAAAAATAATGTTAACAGTCACTGTATGATTAGTATAAAGTTGCATCAGTATGCTATACAACGTCACTGTATGGTATATAATAAAGATATACTCTATTAGCCTGTTAACCGGGGAGTTCCCTTTTTAATGACGCAACCTGTAACGGGCGCGTACTCTTTCACTAGGACATGTCAGTACGTCACGCCCGGAGGACGTAATTTCATATTATTTTTTTTATTTATACTTAATGAAAATAAATGAAATATATATATATATATATATATATATATATATATATATTTCATTTATTTATATATATAAAGCACAAAGGAAAATACAAAATTACCAAAAAAGAATAGAAAAGAATACCGACAAAAAAAAATGGACACATCAAATTAAAAAATTATTAATTTTACAAACAATGATAAAGTTTACAAAAAATAGCCGAAACCGGTTTGGCTCAGTGGATAGAGCGTCAGCCTTCGGACCTAAAGGTCCCAGGTTCAATTCCGGTCAAGGGCATGTACCTTGATTGCCGGCACATCCCCAGTGGGGGGTGTGCAAGAGGCAGCTGATCGATGTTTCTCTCTCATCTCATCGATATTTCTAACTCTCTATCCCTCTCCTGTCCTTCCTCTCTGTAAAAAATCAATAAAATATTAAAGAAAAAAAAAGATTACAAAAAATATATACCGTCCCTCTCGGGGCGCAACATATATTTCAAGGACATATTCATACGTCCTACCCGTTCCCGATATTGTTTACGTTTGACGTATTATAGGTCCTGCTCGGTTAACAAGTTAGTTTACATGAAAATATACTGCCATCCCAATACGCTGGGGTACTGAGCTGATTTTCCAGAGGTAGAGACCAAATTGAGTTGATCCAACCACATACCCATTCACCCTTTCCCCTCCTTTGATTAGTCATATATTTTTAAAACAATTAGTGAGGGCTATAAGTCTAGTCTGCAGTCATAAAAATAATTTGCTTATGATGGAAGGATTACTGCTTTCCTGTTGGTAACATGGTGCTCCTATGGCACATGACACCTCTGAGTTATGTCCTTCTCTTTGAAAGTCAGGTCTGCTGACTTCCCACCTCTCTGACGATTCTTCTCCTGGTCGTAACTGTAGAGACTTCTCCTCCAGTAGCATCTCCTTAAACATGCACGTTCCCCAGGGTCCTGTCCTTGGCTATCCTCTGTCTGCATGACTTCCCCTGGGTCTTAACTAATACATGTTAACTGTCACTGCACCGTAATGACTGGCTCTCTACTACCATGAGTACCTATCTGTCTTATTCATCTTACACTTATGAATATGTATCCTATTACTCCAAGCTCAGCAATTTCAAAGGGAATCATCTTTCCTCTGAAAATGGGCTCCTCATCAGTGCCCTCTAAATTCCTGCTTCACAACATTTCTACAAACCAGCAGATATCTGGAAAGGATTTTCCCTCTTCCCACCAAATAGTGTTTTTAAAAATCTCTTTACCCGGGTCCCTCCTCTCCCTCAGCCATTTCATCCCCTCGTCTCTCATCTCTCGTCTAGCAGCTCTTCAGCCTCTGACCTGCCTGCCTACAGCCCCGCACCCTCAGTCTGCTCTTCTCCTGTCACCAGAAGGACTTTTCGGAAACTCTCATCCTGTAGCTACTGTGTAAAACCTTTCAATGGCTCTAAAGCCCCACCATGAGCCCACACAGGGGCCATTCTCTGCCTGGACCTGTCTTTGACCTTGAGCCCTGATACTCCCATGAGTTTTTTTTCATTATAGCCACTCGGCCTCTCCCACTCAAACTCTGTAACTGAATAGATTTGGATAAAGTGGTTTTTGTTTGTTTTTTAGCTGTCTTGCCACCCAACCTCATAATGTTTGCTATCAAAAACTGAGGAACCTGGGGCACTTCTGCTGTTTTAACATCTACCACTTAATACCATACCTCAGCGTGTCCTTCTAGCATTCCCACTCCCACCTGACCTGCCTAGTGGGCCTGGCTATATTTCAAGACCCAGCCTGTGCCATAGCCCTTTGGAGGTACCCCTTGAAAAATGTCTGTATTTGGTGCTTCTGATGACCCTAGTAAAAGCCTTAATTGTAGTACCTATTGTACCATATTACAATGATGTGTTTACTTATCTGTTTTCCCTACTTATTATGAGCTTTCAGACACAAGCCTACTTATCATTTACCTCTACCCTAGCACTGTGCTGAACCAATATTTGTTGAATGAAACAAATACACTGAGCTCACAAATATGGACACATACATATTTGATATACTCAGAATAAAGAAAGTTACACAGAAAACAATCCCTTTACATTTGGAGATGTTTTAGCTCAGAATCAGGCACTCACAATTTTTGTTTCAACAAAAACATTTTATAGGTACTTTCTTACACACTGGTCATAGTAAATAAAATGAACATGGTCTGTGCTCCCAGGAGTTTACAATCAAATGTGGAGACAGAGGACAAGTCGACACGAATGGGGCTGGTGCTCTGAAAGAACAGAGCAGAGGCACACGTCCCGGCACAGGGGAGGCACCAGCCTGCTCCGGACAGCTGGCGAAGGCTTCTTAAGGAGACGCTGACCAGTGACCAGGAGCCAGCGTGCCCTGGACAGGCAGAAAGCTGCTCCAAGTAAGAGCCACAGCATGCGGAGGCCAATTCTAGGAAGAGGTTGGTTTGCTTAAGGGACTGAGAATAGGCCACGTGCCTGTAGCACGGAGAGCAAAGCGGATACCATACAACACAAGGTAGGAAGGGGCCAAGGACCACGCTGTTCAGGTCCCTGTGTGGCCATGATAAGGGGCTCCGTTTGGTTCTTAATTGGAGGTGGGATGTCTTCACGGGCTTTATTTAAAATGAGGTCATGCTCTGACTGATGTTCCCAATGATAACTGAGTGAAGACAGGGAACAAAGGGGGAGATCAGGGGAGAGGAAAGTGGGGTCCTTCAAGTTAGAGGTGGTGGCTTGACGATGGTGGTGTCGGGGTGAAAAAAAAAATGGAAGAGATGGAAGAGAACTCTGGATGATAATTCCATTGGCAGGCAGGCAAGTGAGTAAAGAGGTAGCTGAGAATAGAGGCCATTAACTGGTTTTGGACACAAGTCTTGAGGTATCTATGAGACATTGCAGTGAGAGCAGGTATCTGTGGCTTGAGCACACTGGTTGGTTTTTAGTGGAGAAACAGATCTGGGAGTCCTCAGCATGCAGCGGATATGCAGAATCATACTGAAGGAAACCACCGAGGAAAAAAGGACAGAAGAGGAAAAGGGGATCCAACACTGAGTCCTCAGGTGTCAAAAACTTAGAAATCGCCAGGGGGACCTGCACAGCAAACTGAAAAGTGCCAGAGAAGAGGCCCCAAACCAGGTGAGTGCAGCATTAGAGACCAAGGGAGGCAAGTGTTTCTGGGAAGGGAATAGACAGCTGAGCAGGTGCTGCCAAGAGCTCCAATGCACTGAAGACAGAAAATGGCACTGGCTCTGGCCGGCTTTGCAATCGGTTGGCATCTTAAAGCGAAAAGTGGGCAGGAAATCTAGTGGGGCTACGTGAGG